CCCCTGGGCCTGGGCCCCCCCCGTCCAGCTTGTCCATGAGGCGGTTGAGGGTGGAGGCCAAGGACTTGGAGGCCTGGTTACGGTCAAACTCCCCCTTCAGCCCCTCCGTCTCCAGCTCGTCCTCCACCTGCGGGTGACGGGGGACGTCGAGGGGCAAGTGGGGGGGGAGGGAGAGTCCCCCCAACCCGGCCAGGGGGTCCCCAACGTGGTGACCCACCTCGTTGATGATGTTGTCGAACTCCTTCTCCATCTCGGTCTTCACCTCCTCCTTCAGCTGAGCCATCTGCTCCCGGGGCAGCAGAACGGCCTCCAGCTCTTTCTCAAAGCCACCCAGAAGGTCCCCGTCTTCCTCCTCATCCTCTTCCTCCTCCGGCCGCTCCCTCTCGCCTGCTGGGGGCTCCTCAGGGACAGGGGGGTCCAGGGGAGCCTTTACTGCTGCCGCCTCCTCCTCCTCCTCGCTCGCCTTCTCCTTGGCCTGGAGACAGAGGGAAGGTCCTCGTGAACGTCCCTTGGTGCCAACGGGGAAACTGAGGCACGGAGAAGCTGCTCGAGGGGCCCGCCCCGGGTCGGGGTGCGGGTGGTCACCCACCTTCTTGGTGTTCTCCTTCAGCTCCTCGATGAACTGGAGCAGGTCCCCGGGGCTCCTGATCACCTTGAAATGGATTTTCTTCCGCGTATCTACAAGGCGACCACCAAAACAGACAGGCGGGAAGGACGGGGACGGCGAAGGCCCGCGGCACGCGCTGGGGAACACGGAGCGGCCACCGCCGGCCACCCCCTCCGGGGACTCACCAGCTGCCGGGCCGCCAGTTGCCTTTGGGGACGGCTCCTCCGCCTGCGGGAAGGAGACGGGTGATGGAGCGGGAGCCCAAAACCGCTCCCTCTAACGTGACACATCTCTGGCCCTGCTCGTCCTCGCCGGTGGCCACGAGGATGTCTCCGAGGTCGTTGGGGACTCACCCTGGCGTTGTCCTGCTGGCCGTTGGCCTTGCCGGTCACCTCACGCACCCGCTCCCAAAAAGCCGCCTCCTTGGCTGGGTCTGGCTCGTCCCCCGGCGTGGCTGGCATGGGAGGAGGGGACGGGCATGGCTGGCACCGGGCAGCTCCAAGCACGCTGCCCTGGCCGGCAAACGCCCGCGGCGGCTCCCCTAGCTGCGCCTCACCTCGGGGATTACGCGCGCGGCGGCTCCCGGAGCCGTGCTTGACTGCGGGGACGAGGAGGGGACGCGGGCTGCACTGTCACCGTGGGCCGCCGGTGCGCCCTCGGGGGGCTGGGCGGGGGTCTCGGCGTCCCTCTCACTCCACAGCCTCGTGTCCAACGTCTTGAGCTCCTCCGAGATCTCCTCCACCTTCCGCTTGGTGTCAGCTGGAGGGACAGAGGGGACCCGGGTCACCCGGGGTCCCGCCACCCGCCGGTAGGTGGGAGGGGAGGGGAAAGGGGGTCCCCTCGATACTCACAGACTTGGGCGCGGACGTACTCGACGTACTGCGCCGGGCTGAGCGCCGGCTGGCAGAGGATGGGCTGCGGCGTGGCGCCGGCCGGCGGGCGCAGGAAGGGGTGGTGGCAGATGCGGGTGGTGTGGACGGTCAGGACGTAGGAGCAGGACTGGGGCTCGTCCACCCGGGCGATGTAGTCGCCGGCCCCCT